TTACATGCCATTATCCATAATCAAATGACTGAGGATTAGTTTATCACATTAGCACAATAAAGGAAAAAGTCACAAAGAGGCTGTATGTAGTCTCCCTAATTCCTGTTTCTTTTCCTTTTCCCCTCGAGTAACTAAATGAGTTTGTTTTACTCAAAGAACATTTGTATTAGTAAAAGAACTCATTTAGGAATCCTAGTCGTCTGACCCCAGCGAACTGGAGCAGTAGATTGCTGTGTTAATGTGTTTACTGTCTGTCTCTACAAACATCTGGTCTCCCGTCCAGTCCTCCCTGTGGGTGGAATCTACTGGGCTGGAGAGGGCAGGGAAGGGAGTACTCTTGTGCATCTTGGAATCCTCCCCAACACCCAAAACAGTGCCATGTGCTTACAGAAAGCATTATTCCAGTTCTTAATGCCACCTATTGCAAAGCTCTGACCCTTCTCTAGGAAACTGTGGTTGAAATTTCAGACCTAAAAATGTCAGCTGGATACTTAAAATTGTTCTTATAAAAATCCATCTATTGAGCACACACTTTGTGTCTGACACTGGCACTCAGCAACTAACTAGACAACAAAATTACCTCACAAGGTCAGAATATGAGGTAGGTGGCAGACATTCAGTAAATGCTTATTAATCCGATTTGATGAACTTGTTAAACTACTTTCTGGCTAAACTTTTAAGTCTTTCATTAATGCTTTCTTCACATGGCAGTGGCCTTTAGTTTCCAATATTCTACTAAGCACTCAACTTTTTATTTTTATTTTTTAAAGGTACAAGGTCTCGCTCTATATGGCAGTGTGATCATGGCTCACTGCAGCCTCAAACTCCTGGGCTCAAGTGATCCTCCCGCCTCAGCCTCCCAAGTAGCTGGGGACTGCAGATGTGCACCACCACTCCCTGCTAATTTTTTTTCTTTGTCATTTTTTTTGGTAGAGATGGAGTTTTTCTATGTTGACTAGGCTGATCTCCAACTCTTGGCATCAAACATTCCTCCCATTTTGGTCTCCCAAGGCACTGGGATTAAAGGTGTGTGTCACCACACCCAGCACACCCAACTTCTGTGGACTTCTTGTATCAGCCCTCCAATCCTCATTAGCAACTGCCTATTTATTTTTGAACTCAGGGGACATAAAGAAAGACGTCTCTAAGGGCTGAGCATGTTGGCAGGTAGATGAACTTGCCCTACAGGGAGAGTCTGCTAAAGGGGAGGTAACAGGCTATATTTGCATTTCTAAAGGGGAAGTGGGGAACTGGGGGAAAAAGAAGAGAGAGAAAAATAATTAAACCATCTCTTAGGAAAGTGGGGGTACTCGGTTAAACTACGGTCAGATCACTGCACTGCAGCCTGAGCAATAGAGCGAGACCTTGTCTTTAAAAAAAAAAAAAAAGATCTAATAAACCACAGAGTAAAAGAGAAAAATCTGCATTAGACTACACCACAGAAAAACTGACAGTTACTCTTTTACCTTCCTACCATCAAAACCTAAGAAATGGTGTCCTCTTTTCCATTATGAGAAGATACACTTCGAACTGCTGATCTTGTGATGATAATACGTTTTTCTAAACTGTGGATTCATTCTTGTCCTATTTCTCTTGCTGTTGTTTTGGCTGGATCAAGTGCTGAGGTCAAGTAACTGTGGCTAGTAAACATGAGGTTCAGACCCAGGTGAGTTAACTGGCCTGGCAGAAAATCAAACAACCTTGGACACGGGACACCACACTGTGACAACCCACACAACAAAGCTGGACTCACAACTGTCAACACCAAGAGCAGGCTGGCCCTAGAGCATCACAGTTCCACGCTGCTCACCTGCAACAAAAGTCCAGGTTTTTCTAAACTGGGGTCCAGATATCATCTGTCAAGACTTTAGCATCAACCTTCTTGACCTTCATAAAAGCTTCTGTGCTATCTGAAGGTACCACGGAAGTCTGGGATGAAATTTCTGAGATGAAAATTATTTTTAGAACTTTAATCGACAGTGATTCTCATCCAAGTAAATCAAAATCCATGCACATAGGAGATGCTCAATAGATACAAGATCAACTGGAAGGGAAAAGCACTAAGTTAGTGACCACAAATGGACGTAACTTTCGTCATCATCATCAGCGAACACTTCTTGAGCTCCTACTAGGTATAAGTGATAACAAAAGGTGTCAATCACAGGTCCTAACCACAGGCAGTTTACAATGGATAACTATTACCCTATGAAGTATACAGAAGCATTTGAAACCTCTAGACATAAAATCACCTTTCCCTTTTCAGTGAGGCTTCCCTAGTTACCTATGTTTAACAGTGTATGCATTTTTTTCCTCTACCAAAAGAAGTCAAGAAGAAAAAACAAGGGAAGGAAGGAATACATAGCTAGAAGGACTGATCCCAGTGTCTGACATGTATAGCTCACACTAGGAGAACTCAAAATATGTAAGAATAAATAAGGATTCTCTTCTTCACGCTGAATCCAAATTTGTACAGTAGTCACCGTTATTCTAAGGAGCTCCATTTGGTTCACTGCTAAACAGCCTCCCCCTCCACATATGTTAGCTGACCTGTGTGGTCCAGCTCGCACAGCACTGACTGTAGATATTTTATACTACACCACATGCTTCTGCTTCCCACTCTTCCATTCATAAAGAGAACATTTAAAAAGCACACACAGCCAGGCACAGTGGCTCATGCCTATAATTCTAGTCCTTTGGGAGGCTGAGGCAGGAGGATCACTTGAGGACCCTGTCTCTACAAAAAATTAGCCGGGCATGGTGGCTTGCGCAACAGAGCAGACCCTGTCTCAAAGCAAAAAAAAAAAAAAAAAAAAAAAGCACACAAATTACACAAATTATTGGAAATACAGCACTAGAGGCTTGAGTAAACAGTACCAGTACTACAAAGAAAATAGAATTTCATGTGAATGACATGTATTTCAGTTCTAAGCAATACATAACTTAGAATGTAATTTCCTAATGCACTTAAAATTTTCTTTTAGTTTTTTTTTTTTTTAAAAGAGACAGGGTTAGGCCAGGCACAGTGGCTACTGCCTGTAATCCTAACACTTTCGGAGGCTGAGGAGGGAGAATCATTTGAGCTCAGGAGTTCAAGACCAGCCTAGGCAACATGGTGAACCTGTGCCTGGCCCCTAACGCACTTAATTTCTTATTTAAGGCTATTTTAGGAATTCAAGGACAAAAATAATTACCAATATTCCTTTTCCTTATATTATACTTCACCTCTTCTATTACCTGAAATCTTCGGGTAGTGTGCATGAGAGATTTATACATGCTGCTTCATTTTCTCTGTCACCTTTAAAATACTATTTTCTCCAACTCCTCTACTAAACAATCTTTCTAGATGATAATCCACGTTTTACCTACCCAGAGGTGCCAGTGAGCTGGGAGATCTGGGGGAATGCATTTGCCAGGAAACAGACTGCTAACCCACAACAGGAGGCTTTCAATGCCCTGGGAGATGGACTGTAATACCAGGACTTGTATCTTGACCTAACCCTCTAACCTTCTTCCCCCACCTGCTAGTCCCTCTTGTCTCTTAACTCTTAATCACTGCTTGTTTCAGAAGCATTTATCACTATCCCACAGTATTTATTTGCTGCCTGCTCCCCCATAAGATCTCCAGAGAGCAGGATATTTACGTGTCTTGTTGATTCAACCTCAGCTTCCAAAACAGTACCTGGCTCACACAAGAAGCTCAATAAATATTTACTGAATCAATTATAACATCTTACAATACCCAAGAATTAAGTCATATTTTATTGATCAACAAATCAACTAGTAAAATCTTACTTGTCATTGCAGAAAAAAAGCGAGAGGAGAGACACATCTGCTCCCCAACTCCTGCTACATGAGATATGAAAAACGGATGGCTAAGTGGAGATTTTGTAAGAGAAACAAACGTTACTAATTTTTGAGACCACTTCTAAAACCAGGAGATGCCTGTTCCTTAATATACTGCCTTGTTTATCAGCTTCTGAGTGAAATGTCTGTTACCTACTACAGCCTTCCGCCATTATCTCAGTGCTGCAATCTGAACTAACACACTGAGAGTAGTTTGGTGAAGTGTGATGCTTTCTTTTAAAATAAAGGAGTGAGCAGGTCATGTGATAAGCAAATACAAACCCTGGGGACAATGATCATTAACAAATATTCTTATGAAGTTGAGCCACTGCCATTTCTCTTACCCCAAAGCGCTTGGGCATTTTCAGTAGAATGATGGTATCACTCTGTCGAGCAGTGAATTTTTAAGCTGGGATAGAATAAAGTTCCCTTTAAAGGGTTATGAGAAGGAATGTGAAAGCAAGATAGGGCAGTGGGTTTGGCAACTGAGGATGAGAAGCGCTCATTTAAAATACTGCGCTTTCCTACATTGCCTAGCCCCAGCCCTAATGTCCCACAGCACGCTGAGGATGGCTTTCTTTTCGGTGCAAACCAGTGATTTCTGGCATCCCCCTTCCACATCACAGAAGCCGGCGGGGACTGCACTACTCCAATACTTATCAGAATGGTGGAAGGCAGGATGGGGTGGTGGGAAGCGAACGCGGGCTTGAGGGGTGAGGTGCGGGGCCAGTGACCGAAGCAAGTTTCCTCATCAGCAAACGGTCATAAAGTTGCCTCCCACCGAGAACGGCCAGAAGAACCAAGTGGATGGCCAGGACCGCGCGCAGAGCCTGCGCGGAGCGAACGCTGTGACTGCCTTCTTACCCTCCCACGGCAAGCGACGCCGAAGGTCTGGGGAGACCGTCAGGGCTGTGACTGAGGATGGTTGTCGAGTGACCACAGAGCCTAGTAAATAACGCGTATCTCCTCCAGCACCGCGGAGCGCGAGCCCGGAGCCCACCGCACGCGGGGCGCCGGGGCCGCAGCCAAGCCCCATGGCTCCGGGCTTCCCGCTTCGAGAAGGGCACGCCGCGGCCCCCTGGGGCTCGGGGCGCGGGCGCTGGCACCGGAAGCGGGAAGGGCCGGCGGAGCCAGGTGGCCAGGAGTCGGGTACTTACCCACGGCGGGCGGCGGGCGGCTGAGGTCGCGGCCAGCCGGCTCCAGGCGGTGGCGAAGTCGGGCGGCGGGGCGCGCGGGCTCCGGCAGACTAGGGCGAACAGGGTCCCCAGCAGGAAGGCGGCCGCAGCGCAGCTCAGGTACAGGCTGAGCCTGAGCAGGACGGAGCTCAGCCCCGCGGCCCCCGCAGCCTCCCCGCCGCCCGGCCCCAGGAAGGAGAGGGCCACGGCGGCGAGTGCGGCCACCGCCACGGGCCCCCACCAGCTCCGGCCGCCCGGGCCCCCCGGTGCCGCCGCGGCTGCCTCCGCGTCCCCCGGGGACTCCGGCCGCCGCTCGTCCCTGAAGCCCGGGGCAGGACGGCCGCCGGCGACTGCGGCCCGCGCGGGGCTGAAGCCAGCGCCGCCACTGTCGGTCGCATCGGGGTGCATGCTGCTTCCTGGGCCGCTAAGGACAGGCACATCTCCTGCCCCGCGGTCCCCCGCCGGCGCTCCGGAGGCAGGGGGAGCCCGCGCTCATGCCTCGCCCGCGGTCCACCGAGGGAGCGGCCCCCGCAGACGCCGCCGGGCCCCTCTCGGCGACCCCTCAGCGCCGCCACCAGGCGCTGGGCCCGTAGCTGCCGGGCCGGGCGCAGCCAGGGAGCCCCACCGTGTTGTGACTGAAGCCTGGCCAGCCTGACGCGGGCGGGGCGGGGCCGCCCTGAAGTGCGTGTCGGGCGGGGCCCGGAGCCACCGCGGCCGCTGAGTGACAGCCAGGAGGCGCCCACCCACAGCGCAGGGGCGGGGTCCGGGACGGGGCCCCACGGGGAGGGGGCGCGACCCAGCGCGGCGCACACCGCTCTTTCCCACGCTCCCCTCCGCCTCCACAGGATGCCGTCTGTTCGTGGAAAATTTTGCTGCAGGTGTCAGCGGCGCTGGTAATTCCCCAGCTCAGGTGATCCCGTAATTCTCCCTCTCCGCTCATCACCGGCAGTAACCTCTTCTCTTTGCTTGCAGCCTGCAACATTTCTGCCTGGTTTTCACTCGCTATTTAAATAGGCAGCTGTTCCCGAGCCTGCCTGTCAGTTTCTAACGACCTTCCCTTTCCCACTCTGCCGCCTTAAGCAAGGAATCAGACACGTGCGGTGGAGTAAGTGAAGCCTGCAATTCCTAGCTATGGAAAGGTCCAAAGAAATCTGCCTGGTGTAACAGGGTGCAGGTAGCTGCCCATAATCACTTTGGCTCCAATTCTGTTTTTTCCCCCCAACTATTCAGTACAAATGCTATCAGCCACGCAAAGGAACGTGGTCCAAATAATTTTTAAAGTATATATTTGCCTTTTCTTCTGTCATAGTCCCAGCCAGTAATATACAGATAACGCTTGCTAAGTAGATGCCAATATGCTACTTAAACACTGGCAATTACTGCTAAGACTAATAAAGTAGCAGATGTAGCTTTTACTTTTAGTATTAATTGGTATTCATGGGCATTTCATTCTTTCTTTTTTCGAGACGGAGTCTCTGTTGCCCAGGCTGGAGTGCAGTGGGGCGATCTCTGCTCACGACAATCTTCACCTCCCGGGTTCAAGTCATTCTCCTGGCTCAGCCTCCCGAGTAGCTGGGACTACAGGCGTCCACCACCACACCCAGCTAATTCTTGTATTTTCAGTAGAGATAGGGTTTCACCATGTTGGCCAGGATGGTCTCGATCTCCTGACCTCGTGATCCGCCCGCGTCGGCCTCCCAAAGTGCTGGGATTACAAGCATAAGCCACAGCGCCCGGCCTCACTTCATTCTTTCTTAAACCTTCTAAGTCAGAAATGAAGAGTGCCTCATGCTAGATGTGACTTTGCCATGCCAAGGTGATGATCAAAAGAAGTTACCAGCTTCCTTTACTCCTCCTTTTTTAAGAAAATAGGGGCAGGTGCGGTGGCTCACGCCTGTAATCCCAGCACTTTAGGAGGCTGAGGCGGGCAGATCACGAGGTTAGGAGTTCAAGACTACCTAGCCAACATAGTGAAACTTGAACCTGTGAGGTGGAGGTTGCAGTGAGCTGACATTGTGCCATTGCACTCCAGCTTGGGCAACAGAGTGAGACTTCGTCTCAAAAAAATAAAATAAAATAAATAAAGCAGTATAATTAATTTTGAAGAGGCCCTTTTGCCTCTAAAATAGTTAATTTTCAGCCAACTGGAGCCCCTCAAAGTGTACCCTACAAACCCAAATTATTCAAATAAAGCATAGCGGCTTGTTATCACCAACAACCAAATCTATGTTTTTTGATCATTTACATGCCGAGGACTGTATTCTGAAGGCTTTATGATAAATTTAAATTAATTTTCCAATTTTAGCACTAGCTCACCATAATAGTAACTAACAGCACTTACTGTGTGCCAGATACTATTCTAAGAACCAAACATACTTCATTTAATCTTCACAACAACCCCGACGGATATCTCCATCTACACAGTGGGGAACTGAAGCACAGGAGGTAAGATAACATGCTCAACATCACAAAGCTAATAAATAACAGAACTAGGATTTAGTTGTTACTCCATGTGGTCTAGCTTCAGAGCTTGTGCATTGAATCGCTATGCCATGATGCTTCCTAAGAATTCTGTGAGTTAGTCATCTCATATTACAGAAAAGAAAAAAAAAAGTTAAATTATTGATCCTGATCTGTATTCCATGCTTAAAAGTGGATAGTTTTGGGCCTAGCTTGGTGGCTCATGCCTGTAATATTACCCAGCACTTTGGGAGGCCAAGGTGGCTGGATTACCTGAGGTCAGGAGTTTGAGACCAGCCTGATCAACATGGCAAAACCCCGTCTGTACTAAAAATATAAAAATTAGCCATGCGTGATGGCGTGCGCCTGTAATCCCAGCTACTTAGGAGGCTGAAGCAGGAGAATCGCTTGAACCTGAGAGACACAAGTTGCAGTAAGCCCAGATGGCGCCAGCACTTCAGCCTGGGGAAGAGAGCAAGACACTGTCTCCAAAAAAAAAAAAAAAAAAAGTGGATAGTTTTGTAGCTTTGTGAGAAGAGCAGCAACTTAGCCTCCTAACAAATGCTAAGTGATCATAACTTGAACCAACTGGTCTGAAACTTATTGACAGGCCAGGCCTGTAACTCTTAAGACCATGATCTTTCCAATACACGCATATATATTATACCCAGGAGTAATGCAGATATGAATAAATGTAAGCCTGGGGTCAGAAAACTTCCTCACAGCACATTTGTATATATTTTTTGGAGAAATGTATTGCGGCTAAATCAGCATTGACACTTTGACATTTTTTTAACAAATGGTAGTCCAGCCTCCACCCTGTGTGGTTTGAGGAACATTGAGAAGTGAGGTAAGGTAAGTGTGACAATGGTTAATTTTAGGTGTCAACTTGACTGGATTAGGATTACCTGGAAAACTAACAAAGGATTATTTCTGGGTGTGTCTATGAGGGTGTTTCCCAAGAAGATTGCCCCTGGGTTAGTGGATTGAGTGGAGAAGATCCACCCTTGATGTGGGCAACCATCCAATCAGCTGTGGCCCAGAAAGAACAAAAAGGTGGTTTCCTCTGTGTCCTGGAGCTGGGATACACTCTTCTCCCATCCCTGGACAGCAGAACTCCAGGCTTTCTGGCGTTGAGACTCCAGGTTACACTAGCAGCCTCCTGAGAGTTATGCCATCCGATTCCCTGGTTCTGAGGCCTTCAGAGTTGAACTGAGCCACACTACCAGCTTTCCAGGCTCTCCAGCTGGCGAAGGGTGTATGTATCATCAGAGTTCTCAGCCTCCATAATCACGTAAGCCAATTCCTCCAATACATTCCTTCTCATATATCTATCTATATCCTTTTGGTTCTGTCTCTCTGGAGAACATTAATACATCTTCCTTTTTTTTTTTTTTTTTTTTTTTGAGACAGAGTTTCGCTCTTGTCGCTGGAATGCAATGGTGTGATCTTGGCTCACCGCAACCTCCGCCTCCGGGGTTCGAGAGGAGCTCCTACTTCAACCTCCCAAGTAGCTGGGATTATAGGCATGCACCACCATGCCTGGCTAATTTTTTGTATTTTTAGTAGAGATGGGGTTTCTGCATGTTGGTCAAGCTGGTCTCAATCCCCCAACCTCAGGTGATCCATCCACCTCGGCCTCCCAAAGTGCTGGGATTACAGGAGAGCACCACCACGCCCGGCATCCATCTTCCATTCTATCTGTCCTGCCGCACATCTTAATGTTGTAACGTGGACCAGAGGCACACAGGTCATGGGCTGAATAATATATTCCATGTTAGGTATCTACTACATTCTCCTTCATCTGTCTGTTGATGAACAAACACTTGAGTTTTTTTCCACCTTTTGGCTATACTGCTATGAACATGGGTGCATAAGTAACTGTTTGAGACCCTGCTTTCACTTATTTTTAGTATATGTCCAGAAGGAAATTGCTGGGTCATATAATTCTATGTTCAAGTTTTTTAGAACATGCCATACCATTTTCCACAGTGGCTGAGTATTCTACATTCCCACAAGCAATGCATAAGGGTTTCAGTCTTTCCACATTCTTGCCAATCCTTGTTTTCTGGGGTTTTTTTTTACTAAAGCCATCCTGGTGGGTGTGACCTGGTATGTCATTGTGTTTTTGACTTGCATTTCCCTAATTAATGGTGTTGAGTATCTTTTCATGTGCTTATTGGCCATTTCTTTGGAGAAATATCTACTTAAGTCCTTTGTAAGATAAACTTTTGACCACAGTTTGTTTATTTATTTATTTAGAGAGTGGCTCGCTCTGTTGCCCAGGCTGGAGTGCAATGGTGCGATCTCAGCGCACTGCAACCTCTGCCTCCCGGGTTCAAGCGATTCTTGTGTGTCGGCCTCCCGAGTAGCTGGGGTTACAGGTGGGCACCACCACACCGGGCTAATGTTTGTATTTTTAGTAGAGACAGGGTTTCACCATGTTGGCCAGGCTGGTCTGGAACTCCTGACCTCAGGTGATCCGCCCACCTCGGCCTCTCAAAGTACAGGGGATTATAAGTGTGAGCCACCGTGCCGGCCGACCACAGTTTAACAACTATCCCTGGAAAGTGGTGCCAACATAGTTTTATTAAGCACTTTAAAAGAAAGTGAAATGCTTTTTTTTTTTTTTTTTTTTTGAGACACGGTCTCTGTTGCCTAGGCTGGAGTGCAGTGGCACGATCTTGGCTCACTGCAGCCTCCACCTCCTGAGTTCAAGCGATTCTCCTGTCTCAGCCTCCTGAGTAGCTGGGACTACAGGCTCACGCCACCATGCCCAGCTAATTTTTGTATTTTTAGTACAGACGGGGTTTCACCATATTAGTCAGGCTGGTCTTGAACCCCTCTCAGGTGGCCCACCCGCTTCAGCCTCCCAAAGTGCTGGGATTACAGGCGTGAGCCACCACGCCCAACCAATGCTTTCTTTTAGGCAACAAAAAGAGAGTTAATTAAACTTTTGGTAAGTAAGACCAACAAGTACAAAATGCACTGTGAAGGACGAAAATAGACAATCCTTACTGGAACTCCCCGGGACAGGGTAAGACCCATATTTCCTACCCTTCTTTGTGCTTAGGTATGAGCAATATTTATTGAGTACCTACTGGATTGGGTACCATTGCTGCTACAACAAATTACTACACATTTAGTAGTTAAAACAACACAAGTGTATCGTCTTGTATCGTCTTACAGTGCTGAAGGTCTTAAGTCTAAAATCAAAATTTGCAGGCTCGGGGTCCTTGCGAAGGTTTCAGGAGAGAATCCGTTTCCTCCTTTTGCAGCTCCTACCTGCACTGCTTGGCTCATTACCTCTTTCTGACATCACTCCAACTTCTAGCTTCTGTGCTCACAGCTCCCACTACTAACTTTGAACTTCTTGTCTCCCTCTTATAAGGACCTTTGTGATTACATTGGTCCACTGGATAATCCAAGTTAATCTTCCCATTTTGATCCCTAATCACATCAGCTAAGTCCTGTCTGCTACATAAGGTGACATATTCACGTGTTGTGGGGATTAGGAGGTACACATTTTTGGGGTGCCATCATCCTACCATACCTGAGAGTTCAACGAGAAGTTATTGCATTCAATATATTCTGCGGAGATCATTTTTACCTTAGATTGTTTTAACTACCCAGCCCATTTACCCCTCGGCAAAGGTCTTTCCATTCTGCTACCAGCCTCTGGTCCATAGAACTAACTAGTGGTATGAACTGAACTTTGCTGATAGAAAATATCACAAACACACAGCCGCCGTCCTTTTTTATTCTTGTTTTGGTAGAGAATTACAAGATAATCAAGGCAGCTTTCCCTATTAACTCACGATAACAACGGGGCCTACCCGCGTCGCCCTAGGCAGCCGGGAGCAGCAGTAACGCCTCTAGGGCGCCCTGGCAACCACGCGGGCTGGACCGCCTTCTTCCGCGGCTCTTCCCGTGTGCGCGTCCCTGGCCCGGCCTCCAGCTCCGCCCGCGTGGAGCCCCGGCCTGGCCGCCTGCCGGCCGCGCTCTGTGACGCCCGCCGGGAGGGCCGCGCGAGGCCCGGCGTGCGCCCCCGCCTCTGCCGAAGCGCCCGGCCCCGCGCCGCCCCTCCTTTCCCTTTCCGCTCTCTCCGCCTCCGGAAGCGCGGGCGCGCGGCGCCGGGAGCCCGTTCAGGGTCGCGGGAGTGCGCCAGCGCCGCGCGTGGGGCTGTGGCGGCCGGGGCTCTCAGGTGAGGGGCGCGCGAGCGGGTCCTGCCTCCCTGCTCACGGGGTGCCCGACACGCTCCCTTTCCGTTCGAATCCGTTTCCCCGCTCCGGAGCCCAGGCGGCGGCGAGTACTCGGGGTGGGTTTAACGAAGCCTGCGCGGGCGGTGGGAGGCCGCGCCCCCACGACAGAGGCGCCCGTGGCGGCGGGTCCCGGCGCCGCCCCACCCCGTTCCCCGGCGAGAACGGTGGGTCCCGCCCTCTCACGCGTTCCGGGTGGCGTTGAGGGTCGGGATCATCCCTAAATTGAGATTGGGCCGCGACCACATGCAGGGCCCTGACGACTGCCTCCTGCCTCCAGGGACTCGAACCTATCCCACGAGGCCCGAGGGGCTATTTGCCTTCCGGGGACGGTAGGGGGTGTGGACAAGAGCCTAGCGTTCCTGGAAACAGGTGTTTAATTTGGGCCGGGATTTTCATGTACCCAGTTGGGTATCTTGTTGGAGGCCTATTGTACTGTTTAACTACAGAAATGTCACAGTAACAAGATGACAGTTCAAAAAGTGTCCGGTGCTTTTCTGTGTATTTTCCTCATGTTCGGTGAAAGCACTAGTCGGGTTACTGCTGACTGTAGGACCTGGCAAGTGGGGCGTGTCCAGTGACTCCCAGGCAGCTTTGGTGAAAACTTACTTCTGTCTCTATTTTTGTTTTTTGAGACAAGGTCTCACTCTGTGGCCCAGGGTGGAGTGCACGATCATGTCTCACTGCAGCCTCCCAAGTCCTGGGCTCAAGCCATCCTCCTGTCTCGGCCTCCCAAAGTGCCATGATTACAGGCGTGAGCCACGCCCCTCCTGGCAAAACTCTGTCTTGATTGAGCACCAGAGGGTTGTTATGGTCTGATGAACTATCCTTTAATTTTACCCTTTGCTAGTCTGTTATAAAGAGAATCTTAACTACTTTATTAAGTCATTTTTCTTATTTATTCTCTGGTAAATTGAATCACTTAGTAGTAAATGTTATCAAAAGAATTGCTTAGTGGATGGGATTGTTGGGTAAATTTTCCTGTAAATTAAGTCACATGAGTGTTTAAATCTTTACAATAACGCTGTTGGATGTTATTAACCGAAATTTAAACCTGGAAAGTCTCACAGGCACCGGACTACGCACCACGGCGCATGAACTGTGGCCACTTAGGGAGGCAGTTGGCTTCCAGCTCTTGGGAACTGTATGACCTTACCATGGATGCAGATAAAGGCATAGTTCTGGTGTGTGTATCTGGAGGGGTGGGGGAAGAGGACAGGAAACTATCAAGGAAACTAGGCTGAAACACGGTGATTTCTTTTTTTTTTTTTTTTTTTTTTTTGAGATAGGATCTCACTCTGTTGCCTAGGCTGGAGTGCAGTGGCCCGATCTCGATCTCGGCTCACTGCAGCCTCAGCTCCCAGGTTCCAGCGATTCTTCCACCTCACCCTCTGGAGAAGCTGGGACAACAGGCGAGAGCTATAACGCCCGGCTAATTTTTGTATTTTTTGTAGAGGTGGGGTTTGGCCATGTTGGCCAGGCTGGTCTCAAACTCCTGGGCTCAAGTGGTCTGCCTGCCTGGGCCTCCCAAAGTTATAGGTATGAGCCTATAACATAAGCCACCACGCCCAGCCACACACATACAAGGCGATTTTTCTGCCCTTGTGGGTAGCAAAGAGCACGGTGGCTCAATCTTAAATCTCCTAACTCCAAACTCCTTTGCAGGATAAACAGTCTTTGAATGACTAAATTCGTCAGGTTCTCCTTCGGGTACTGGGGATACAAAGATGAGGAAGTGACGAGGAGCTCCCCAGTCTGGCAAGGAGACAAGTGTAGGGGACGGGGGAGGGAAAAACAAAAACGTTTTTCCTGCAGCTGGGGTTCCGGAAGGTAAACTTACCAGACGGGAAAAGGCATATGTATTTTATTTTATGTTAATTTTTACAATGACACAGGGCTTTCCTAGAAAAGAAGTGGATAGGCCAGAAAGTTTCTATACAGTGTTTAAAAGATGATAAACTGTGGAGATATGACATGAAGAGATCTTAAAACCGGGTGGAGGGTTAGATTTCTAGGGGTTTAAACCATGTGAGTAAATAAAGGCATACCTTGGAGATATTTTAGTTGGTTGCAGACCACTGCAATAAATTAAATCTCGCAATAAAGCAAGTGACATGAATTTTTTGGTTTCCCAGTGCATATAAAAGTTGTTTGCACTATACTGTGGTCTGTTAAGGGTATAATGGTATTATGCTTAAGAAATGTATATACCTTATCTAAAAAATAATTTATGGCTAAAAAAGGCTATCAATCATTTGAGCCTTCAGGGAGTTGCAATTTTTTTTGCTGGTGGGGGGTCTTGCCTCACTGTTGACGGCGGCTGACTGACCAGGGTGCTGAGTGCTGAAGGTTGGGATGGCTGTGGCAATTTCTGAAAATAAGACAATAATTAACTTTGCTTCATGGACTTCTTTTCACAAAAGATTTCTGTAGTTTGTAATGCTGCTTGACAGCATTTTATCCACAGTAGAACTTTTTTTTTTGAGACGGAGTCTTGCTCTGTCACCTGGGCTGGAGTGCAGAGGTGGGATCTGGGCTCACTACAACCTCCGCTTCCTGGGTTCAAGCAGTCCTCCTGCCTCAGCCACCCAAGTAGCTGGAATTACAGACATGGACCACCACGCGCGGCTAATTTTTATGTATTTGTAGTAGAGATGAGGTTTCACCATGTTGGTGAGACTGGTCTCGAACTCCGGACCTCAAGTGATCCACCCACCTCGGCCTCCCAAAGTGTTGGGATTACAGGCGTGAGCCACAGCACCCAGCCTCACAGTAGAACTTTAAAACGAGGTCAGTCTTCTCAAACCCTACTGCTGCTTTATTAGCTAAGTATACGGAGTATTCTAAATCATTTGTTGTCATTTCAACAATGTTCACAGCTTCTTCGCCAGGAGTAAATTCCATCTCAAGAAACTTTCTTTGCTCATCCAGAAGAAGCAAGTCCTCATCTGTTCAAGTTTTATTATGAGATTGCAGCAATTCAGTTACATCTTGAAGCACTGCTTATTTTTTCTTTTTTTTTGAGACAGGGTCTTGTTCTGTCACCCAGGCTGCAGCGCATTGGCATGATCACAGGTCATTACAGCCTCAACCTCCCCAGCCCAAGTGATCCTCCTGCCTCAGCCTCTACAGGCACGTGCCACCACACCCACCTTTTTTTTTTTTTTGAGGCAGAATGTCACTCTGTCACCCAGGCTGGAGTGTGGTGACACGAGCTCAGTTCACTGCTGCAACCTCTACCTCCCAGGTTCAAGTGATTCCCATGCCTCAGCCTCCCAAAAGTAGCTGGGATTACAGGCATGTGCCACCACACCTAGCTAATTTTTAGTAGAGACAGAGTTTCACCGTGTTGACCAGGCTGGTCTCGAACTACTGTCGTCAAGTCATTTGCCTGCCACAGCCTCCCGAAGTGCTGGGATTATAGGTTATAGGTGTGAGCCACCGTGCCCAGCTAATTTTGTAGTTTAGTTTTTTCTTTTAAGAAACGGGATCTCATTGTGTTGTCCAGGCTGATATAAAACTTCTGGGCTCAATTGGTCCTCCTGCCTTGACCCTCCAAAATAACCAGGCTCCACTTCTAATTCTAGTTCCCTTGCCATTCCTACCACAGCTGCAGTTCCTTCCTCCACTTAAGTCTTGAATCCCTTAAAGTTATCCATAAGGGTTAGAATCAGCTTCTTCCAAACTCTTGTTGATGTTGATATTTTGACCTCCTATGTATCATAAATGTTCTTAATGGGGAAAGTTTTCAATTTATTTTGCTCAGATCCATCAGAGGAATTATTATCTATAACAAATACAGCCTTACAAAATACATTTCTTGAAAAGTAAGACTTGAAAGTTGACTTCCTCCTTGATCCATGGGCTGCGGAATGGATGTTGTTAGCAGGGGTGAAAACAACGTTAATCTTGCACATCTTCATTAGAGCTATTGGGTGACCAGGTACATTGTCAATGAGCAGTAATATTTTGAATTTTTTTTGTCTGAGCGGTCAATCTCAGCAGTGGGCTTAAAACATGCAGTGAATTATGGCTGTAAATAGCTGTGCTGTCATTTGGGCTTTTTGGCTTTTTGTTTTATATATAGACTACCGGCAGAGTAGATTTAGCATAATTCTTAGGGCCCTTAAGATTTTTTTCTTTTTCTTTTTTTTTTTTTTTTTGACAGAGTCTTGCTGCCTCGCCCAGGCTAAAATGCACTGCCACAATCTTGGCTCACTGCAACCTCTGCCTCCCGGTTTCAAGTGATTCTCGTGCCTCAGCCTCCCAAGTAGCTCAGACTATTAATATAAAAATTAGCCCGGCTAATTTTTGTTATTTTTAGTAGAGACAGAGTTTCACCATATTGGCCAGGCTGGTCTCGAACTCCTGACCTCAGGTGATCTGCCTGCCTTGGCCTCTGAAAGTGCTTGGATTATAGGTGTGAGGCACCGTACCCAGAATTTTTTTTTTTGAGACGGAATCTTGCTCTGTCACCCAGGCTGTAGTGCAGTGGCCCGATCTCAGCTCACTGCAACCTGCCTCCTGGGTTCAACCTATTCCCCAGCCTCAGCTTCCCAAGTAGCTGGGATTACAGGTACATGCCACTACGCCTGGCTAATTTTTTTATTTTTTGTAGAGACAGGGTTTCGCCATGTTGCTCAGGCTGGTCTCCATCTCCTGGCCTCAAGTGATCCACCCGCCTCAGCCTCCCAAAGTGCTGGAATCACAAGCGGGAGCCACTGTACCCAGCCTAAGGGCCCTAATATTTATAAAATGGTAAATGAGCGCGGGCTTCATTTTAAAGTCACCAGCTCCATTAGCCCTTCACAAGAGTCAGCCTGTTCTTTGAAGTGTTGAGAACAGGCATTGACTTCTTCCTCTAGCTATGAAAATCCTAGATGGTTAGCATCCTTTTCCAATAGAATGTTTCATCTACACTGGAAATCTGATGTTTATTGTAGCTGCATTCAGCAATTCTCTTAGCCAGATCTTCTGCAGCTTCTCCATCAGCACTTGCTGTTTTACCTTGTACTGTGTTTTTGTTTTTGTTTTTGTTTTTTTTTTTGAGACGGAGTTT